CTGCGTTCATGGCCGTAATAGCCGTTCGCATTCCTTCAATCTCGCGACACTTTCGAAAAACAGACGGACGTAAGTATATCTACGATTTGATTAACAAAAATCAAAATGCGATTAACACAAAATCAGAAGTGAAGAGGAAATATTGCGCAAAATTATGGTATTCGATCGCAAACGTAAAATAGAGGAAAGAAAAAGAGAGAGAGAGAGAGAGAGAGAGAGAGAGAGAAGCATCTCAGTAGGAGAGAACGCGTTCAGAGTGCAACAAGTTGAATCGAGAAAAGACTCACTGGGCTCGTTGTCCGCGACGCCGGGCTCGAACACGTAGAACGCCAGCAGCAACAGGACGCAAGGCCATCCTCGGACAGCTCCGGCACAGCCACGGTTAAAGCACCACCGTTCACACGCCATATTTACGTGGCCGCTAAACTCGCGGTAGCCTGCACGGAATATAGTAGAAACCCGTTGGTACCGTGTACCGTGGTCGCGCACGACTCGTGGTGGCAGAAGGATATGAACGGAGAATAGGGGGCGACGCGCGGCGAAGATGGGTGCGACAGAAGATGGCACAGATTGTCAAACGCAGCGGCCGATACGTGGGAAAGATTCGAGGAAACAGAGAACCGTCGGCGACGAGAAACTCTCTCTCTCTCTCTTATGTCTCTACCGATGGTGATTACCACGATTCTTCACAGAACGTCACCGACCGATTTCCGTTTCGATTTCGCGACACAAGCCACGAACTGCACGCGAGAAGCCGAAGGACTTTGTTCCGAAGCGTCTTTAAACCGGTACCGAACGGACGAGAACAACGACAACGATCGCTTGCAGCGGGAACGGCATGTTGGCTCTCACTGGCTCATCGCCCCCATCGTGTTGTTCCTCGGCCGCTCTCTTGGGGGAGTTTCCGTTACGTTATCTAGATAACCGAGAGAATCTCGACTGTGGATACTGGCGGAGCCAATCGGATCGTCGCTGGTGTCGCACGCGCGACAACCAGCGCCAAGCGTAGATGGCCACTCGGGACAAAAATCATCGTTTCGTACCTCGTATTGCTCGCTTTTCGTTGGCTAGAAAGAAGTCGTGGCTAATATCGTATACGGCATACGAAAGTACGCTTCTTGTGGGAAACGAGGTTAGAAATGATTTGGAACAAATGTATACGATATTGTTTGAAACTTCGTTTAGATAAAAGGTTCCTCGGGTAACCTCGACTACTTTCCACAATGTATAATCGTCGTTGCGTCGACCTCGCCGGCTTTTTTACTAAATTGGGTTCGATTGTTGGCCGTTCTTCGACTAAAGTTAAATCATTTTTATTAGAAATTTGAATCTAGATTTCTATTTCGCTCTAAACAACTTTCGTTGTACATTATCTTATGTTTGAGAGATTAGGTGTTTAATGTCATTTGAGCAGTTATGAAGCAGTTACATTTTGGTAACATGTAAAGTGTGATCGTTGTCGTTATAAAATTTAAAACAATCTAAAATTCACAGTTTTTCGGCATTATCTTTCGATTTTCTTAAAAATATATTATTCATGTTACCCTCAACCTTGATCCAAGTTTATCACACCGGCAGCCGATACACACACCCACTCTATTACCGACCTCCATGTTTTATTGTTGAATTCACATTTTGTTTTTAAAATTTTTCCTTTGACTTATGTCACGCTATAACTTCTCCGTTAGAATGAGAGAGATTAAATTTTTGCTGTTATCGGAAGAAAAATCTCTTGCGAAAAAACAAAAATCAAGCTGTGCGCACATGGTGTATAGTTCATCATAGCTTTAGAAAATTCTTCTTACTGTTTTAGAACTTCTTATTTGGAGCTGTCTTCGGTTAATTACTATTTTATTTTCAGTGTTGAAATGTTTTGTAACATATTGCAGAATACTCACACTTCTATCAAGGACTTAGTTTTTTTCTGTATCAGAGTCTGAATTACCGACTCTGTAGAAAATGTTATGCTGAGGTAGACTATAACGTGTTTCAAAAAACATTAATGGTATGGATCCTCGCGCACGTCGGAATAGAAGGAAATGAAGAGGCGGATGCAACAGCCAAAGAATACACGAGCAAAGAACAAGATAGAGAGGTAAAGTTCTAATATCAAACCTTATTAACGAAAGCAAAAAAAGAAATTAGGACCAAATGGGAGAAAGAATTGGAGGAGATAGGAAAGAAAAAAGGAATCATCTATTTGGATAAAATATGGAAGCAAGAAAGAATGATCAAGGATAGATCATAGTTCAACATAATAAAAACAAGAACCAGGGAAACCATCACTACGGTAACTAGACTAAGATCTAACCATTATAACCTTAAAGCCTCCCTATTTACGAAAAATATAGGTAACAATCCATGGTGCAATTGTGGATAAGAGGAGGAGAACATAAATAATACACTCTTTGAATGTTGCTTATGTAATAATGAGAAAGAGAGAGAGAGAGAGAGAGAGAGAGAAAGAGAGAGTAAGAAACCAAATAAAGAATGAAATAGAAATCTATGGAGGAGACACTCACCCGATACTAACAAATTAGAAAGTTAAAACAATTTCAGCCATTAAAGAATTCCTAAGTGAAATAGATAGGAATTTCTTACTGTCGGGGTGCCAAGGAGGAGCCAAGAGTAATCGGACATTACATGGCAATAAAAGGTTGTAATTACAGAACAGTAGATTTAATATAATATAAGATAATAGCATCCAGTAAGGTAGGGTGAAGCATAAATAGAAAAATTTGAAAAAAGTGAAAATAAAACAATCAGGAGAAAGAAAAATAGTCAAAGGACTGTAATAGTGGAAACAACCCTGCCGGGTAGAGATTGAAACCTAAGAGTGATATCAAGTAGGTACTAGGCCAAAGTAAGTAAAAAGTAAAGAGAAAAAAAACACAAAGACTGAGATTAAGAGTAAACAATATAGTACAAAGAAGTTATGAAAGTAAAAGAATATAGACCACAATATATAAAATGATTTTATAATTATACAAGAAGGTAATATTACAAGACAGTTTGCGGTTTGTATCACATTTATGTATCATGTATATGTATATATTGTATTGTATCATGTATATATATATATGTATTATTAAGTTAAATATATATTATAAATATATATGTATATATTATTAAGTTTAAGTATATATGTAGTATATATTAAGTATATATCCATATATTAATACTTTAAGTATATATATATAAATTATTAAATTTTTTTGTATTTTTATTTTTTATTTTGTAAGATAGTTTAAGACAAAGAGTATGATATGTTATGTTGTGATGAAAAATTGTAAGACTGCAGTTATATATAGGGTGAAAACTAAAGTGGCGAGATTCTAAAAGAGATTATAAATTGAAAGCATAACAGTGTAAAAGGAGCTGGAGGCTTATGACATTTTAAATAAAGCAAACCTGAACCTTACCCTGCTAAGATAACGGACTCTACATAAATGGATCGGTCAGTTAGTGAACTACTGTAACAGAAAAAAGTGTGTGTCGAACGAAAGCGTTGGAGCGATTTCTTCCCTATTTGACGTCGGTACAGACTTGGGATCCGTACAAACCCTAAGTAATAGAGATACGGACTCTAAACTATAAAATTTTTTATTTGGTATACTTTTATTAATCAATTATATGATTCGTTGACTTATTCAAAAATCTATTTTCCGTCCAATTATTTAAATATATTTGTTCAATACAATAAATTCAATACAATAAACATATCGTTTTAATACGGAAGGTATTATTTCTTGGTACGAAAATACTAAGAAAGGCATAAACAATTGCGACACCATTGTTAACATGTTCCCGTGTATGTGTATGCTGATATTCGTACATGTACATACTAAAAATTACGCAAATTAAAATATATCTCGTCGAAAGCTGTAAATAAAGTTGGTTGGTGAACTTAATCAGAAAAAACATTACCAGTTCATTGATATCGTTTCTAAAAAAAGATTGTTATGTATAACGATAATTTTATTGCTATTAGCAAGCAATGATAAAACGTTTACAATGTTGTTTCCAACACGTATTGTATAATTGAAGACAATTAAAAACTCTAGGAGAAATGTTAATAAATTCTGTATAGATGTTAATACAACGTAAATAAAAATTAATGAAACGCCTGTACAAAGTGAATATACAGGATGTACCCTTGAAAACATTAAATCTGAATATTTCTCATTGGTCAGCGTTCTTCGTTAATAATTCGTAAACGAAGTTGCAGATTGCATTTTCGCTAAGGAAAAAGTTACTTCAAATGACCTCGGCTACCCCTCATTTTCGGCTGTTAAAACACCCTGTATAGGGTGTTCCACAATTACTTTATTTTATTTATTATATATTAATTATTATATTAAATTAAATATTAATTATTTTATTTATTATATATATAATATTATATATTATTATATATAATATAATATAATAATATAATATTATATATTATTATATATAATATAATATAATAATATATAATATTATATATTATTATTATATATTATATTAATAATATTAATGTAATTTTTTTATATAATATATATATTCAGAACAGAAAGAAACATATTTGGTCAATAACAAAACATAACCAATTGCCTCAATGAATCTAACAAATGTAATAAATAATTATGATTCGACTGAGACGAATATATATATATATATATATATATATATATAATATGCGGCTACATTGCTCTAGCAACTCGCACATTATTTTTAGCATTATTTTTATTTTTCAAAATAATATTATTTCACGCAGGAACATTTTAAGTAAAAGTTTGCAAAGTAAAGGTAAAACGATTGCAACATATGCCTTAAAAACAGTCTGATACAGTCGATTTCTATGCATCATCTGTCGAAATACGCAAAACCCAAAATGAATATGGCACCTACTGGTGCGACTTTCGTCGGCCGACTACAGTCTTTGGGGACACTTATTACTACCTTATGAATTGAGACCAACTTTTACGAAAAGATACCACATGCGTGCGTAAAAGCCTTAGTGGATCGCAGTGAGAAAAGTAGCTGCGGTCAGCTTCGGGCGGAGTGCGAAGTAACGACGAACCGTCGTCGTCGATAAGTCGTGGTCAGAGGATTGCCGGGAAGTGTGGTCGCATCCTAGAAAGATTACTATAATTCGTTTGTTGGGCTAGGATAGCACACTACGGCTGTAATCCTTGCTGATGAGTGACGTGCTTCTAGAAAGTCGAGTGTACCCATGTGACGTCATTCCGTGCCTTGTCGAACATACAGAGAGTACCAGCTCAGTGACAGATAGAAAGAAAAGGAAGTATCGAGAAGAGAACCGCGGAAAAATGCTGGGCCACCACCAACGATTCCTCTTCGATATCGTTCTTCTCTCGAGCCTGTGCAGAGGTAATTCCAGCTTTGTCTGAATCAAATTTTTGAAAAAATCGCAGTCGGTCGTGCTACGACATGATCAAATAAAATGCAAACATTATTGGTTGCACTGCCAAAACAGAAAAAATGTCCTCCGATTTTTAAATCGAAAGAAAATTCCAATCTTTTGTTAACTAAGTCAATGAATGAAATGTTGTAATATATTTATGTATTTCATTTACTGGATGCATTGTAGAGCAATCGTCTATGTCAATTTGTCTATACAGGGTGTTCCATAATTATGTTAATACCCGGAGAGGGATGATTCCTGAGGTTATTTGAAGTAACTTTTTCCTTAGCAAGAATGCAATCCGCGACTTTGTTTACGAGTAATTATTGAAAAACACTGACCAATGAGTGGCGAGTTCGTCCAGCGCTAGGCGGCCGAGCCAATCAGCGGAACTGAGCTTCGACCGCCTTGCGCCAGCCGAGCTCGCCTCCCATTGGCCAGCGCTTTTCGTTAATAACTCGCGAACAAAGCCACGGATTGCATTTTCGCTAAGGAAAAAGTTACTTCGAATGACCTCAGGAACCACCTCTTTCCGGGTGTTGAGATAATTATGGAATGGCCTATATATAACCGAAGAAGTATCTTTCTCTCCGTTCCAGTCTCAACAGCTCTGAAACCAACTATATCAACGACAACTGACCAGATGATTATACAAGAAGGCGAGTCCTTGCGGCTGGTATGCTATGGCAATTCGGACATTTTCTTCATTTATCCCGTTAACCGAACACGTGCCGTAAGTAATGAAATCTTAATACAGGGTGTCTCAAAAATGTCTCGCGATCCGGAAACGGGGAGTTCACGAGGTCATTTGGAGTAATTTTTTCCTTAGCGAAAATGTTCTACGAGGCTTCGTTTACGAGTTGCCAGCAAAAAACGCGGACCAATTAGAGAGTGAGGACGGAGCGTGGACGACTGGGGAGGCGTGGCGCCGTATGTTTTTCGTTAATAGCTCGTGAACGAAGCCGCGGATTGTATTTTCGCTAAGGAAAAAGTTACTTCAAACGACCTCGGGAACTCCTCATTTCTCGCTTGTACAATAATTTTGGGACACCCTGTACAATATTATCAATACAAGGTAAAGAGAAGTGATTATAACGTATACTTTAATAACAGCCTAATACAGTCTTTTCTTATACATCGTTCATCCAAACGAACAAAACCAGAGATGAAAATGGCACCTACTGGTACGACTTTCGTCGGCCGAATACAGTCTTTGGGGACACTGGTTGGTATGGTTGCTCGTATCATCCCCTCGCTATGATCACCATGGATGACTATCTATGGCGTAACAACACCGACTCAGAAAGCAACTTCGTTTATGTCTATGTTCAGTGTAAGTGCATTTTAGATTTCTATTGGGTTGGCAACTAAGTAATTACCGATTTCAGTTATAGATGTCTCTCACTCCCATTTTTATGATATCCGTAAATGTTATACTATAAAATTATTATTATTATTATTATTATTATGTTATTTTTTATTATCCGTGAATGTTAGCAACCGGACAAATTGAATGCAGCGGTCAAGGAAAAGCGACCAGGATTGGTCGATCGTAAAGGTGTCATTTTCCAGCAGGACAATGCTAGGCCGCACACGTCTTTGTCCACTCGGCAAAAATTCATGGATATTGGTTGGGAATTGATGTTACACCCACCATATAGCCCTGATCTCGCGCCATCGGATCACCACTTATTTCGATCCCTGGACAACTCCCTTCGTGGTAAAACTTTTAACGATGACGACGCTGTAAAATCTCACTTAACTCAGTTTTCGGCCGAAAAGGATCAGACTTTCTACGAGCGTGGAATTTTCAAGTTGTCGGAAAGATGGCGAAAGGTCATCGAACAAAATGGAAAATACATTACAGATTAAACTTCGTTCCAAGTAAAAAAAATTTTTTATTTCATTGAACAAATCGGCAATTACTTAGTTGCCAACCCAATATTAAGCTGCGAAAGTTTATGCATAATCTCAGTGTCGAACCAGGGAGACTTCTCAAAGTAGGAATTATAATAACAGCTGTTTAATGGGCTACAGAGACCTTTGCAAATGCGAGAACGCTGCAATTTAAGAGTTAAATTATTATGTTTCAGCTATAATAGATCGATTCGTGGAACAAGCAGAGTCACATGTTTTGGAAACATATATCGGCGGAGATATTGTCGTACCGTGTCGACCAACGTCGCCACGAACGGAAGTCCGGATTGCAAAATTCGTTAGAGAAGAGGTATTTGATCGATCAAAATATGTCGTTGCCATCGAATTCGTGAAGCAACATAACATTGAAGTTACGAAACTTTTCTACTAAATGAAACTTTTCTACAATTTCAATTGGCTGAAATTATGAAATTGCGGAAGATTTGTTATGAAGTTGAATAGGGTATTGCAGCCGGTTATACCGTAGAGCAGAGCTCGGAATTAACCAGCTCGCAACACGAGGATCGCGAGCACGCTTCCTGCCTCCCTGTCGCGCGTCTCACCCCTTGTGGTTGCCTTTTTCGACACGGAGCGTCTTAGGCGCGTGCTGCTGCTTTATATGTGTGTGTGTGTGCGCGCGCGCGCGACGGGACTCAAGCTCTCGCGATCCTCATGTCCGAGCTCTGCCGTAAAGTGACCGATTGTTCTGACTTTTATTTGTTTTCGGGCATAATTGAGCCGTTTATTTTGAAAGTGGCATAAGTCACTTTGTTTTTAAGTCGATATATTTAAGGGTTTGCGTTTGAACACGTTTAAAAATATGTATGCTAACACTTTCGAGAAGATTTACTTGTATTTGTTATCTCAGGATACTGATATTTTTCTCAGTATAAATAGTTTCGTATAAACATTAACAAAATCACCACTTTTCATTACGGTAAAGTGACTTAAGCCACTTTCAAAATAAACGGCTCAATTGACTTTATATTTACGGAACAAGACGTATTAAATACTTTTGTTACTTTATTTTCTTTACATTTTAATAGAAATATTTAATATATATCTTATTCTATAAATTAATTGTGCCTGAAATCAAACCAAAGCACTGCAGACTCATGGACAAGGATAAATGATTCTTTGCTCTGGTATAATTGTGCGGGCTTCACGAATGCTAATAAGTACAATTAATGTGCGAGATGTTATTTAATAAAATACATTGTGCAGTCTAGGTTCGATAAAGTGTCACGACAAATTTACGATCCGAAATTTGGATTTATGCTGCCGTCAATCGACAGGTATATCGAAGGGACGTACATATGCAATACGTTTACTGATCAAACGGTCTCTTATATTATACGTTTGCGGAGTAAGTACACTTGTTGAACAATATTCATCTTACAGTCTATCTTTACAAAACCTTCCTCACAAGATTATTATTATTATTATTTATTTATTTTTATTATTATTACTACTTTATTATTATTACTATTATTTTACCCTGAAGTAATGTTAATAATAATTCCGGGATGGGGCAATGCCGTAGTAAGTGTGGGTTTTTAGTGGGTAAGATCCCCACATACCTTGAGAGTTTGACCGTTTTCGAGGATCTTGTTGATTTTCCCCAGCTATAAAAATAAAAAAAAGTTATTATTATTATTTTACCATCGTCTTTTGTTATTTTGGTTTTGGTAAAATTACGAGAAAAAGAAAGTTACATCATTAATGTAAGAAAGAAATTGAAAATCGAAGGAAACGATTAATTGAATGAAAATTATTGAACAAAAGAAGTACATTTTCCACACGATAGATCTGTAAAACGTTCATTTTTCACGATACTCCATAGGCTTTTAACAATCTACGATTTTTGTTCTCGTTCAGCAGATATTATTCTGCCCGAACTAAGAATTCTCAACGATACTTTGCTGCACGTGATAAAGGGTGAATCTCCGTACCTGAAGTGTACCGCAATCATTCACAATTCTGACTGTGGTATCTATTGGAATGCACCGCGACAAGTATCGATCTTCACATACGAGTTCCATTCGACGCTCGTCCGAGTTGAATTTGATACAGCAGTTTGATATTTCAGAGCAACAGAATCAATACATGGAATGATCGTCGGGCTATTACAAGTAACATCTTTGAGAGAACGGCCTTTTTGGTGATCGAGTACGTAATCAACGGGGACGCAGGTATCTACGAGTGCAAACTCAGCTGTCCTTATAATGAGACAAAATCAGAGATGGTCATCCAGGTGCATGGTAAGTGCGGTGATAGCGTTACACGCGAAACGTGGTCAATAATAGCCTATAGTAGCCAGATGGTTCAACTAGATTTAGGTATTAATAATAACATTATGGTATTTTCGGGAAACACAAGGGATTCCTGAGGTCATTTGAAGAAACTTTTTTCTCAGCGAAAATACAATCCGCGGCTTCGTTTACGAGTTATTAACGAAAAACAGTGACCAATCGGAGAGCTAGCGCGGCCAGTGCTTCGCGCTTTCGGCCAATGCCGCGTCGCGCCGGCCGCCTGACGCAACGGCAGTGGTCACGAGGGAGGGGCGTCAGCCATATGCGATCTTTCATTGGTCACTGTTTTTCGTTAATAACTCGTTAACGGTGCCTCGGAGAACATTTTTGCAAAGGAAGAAGTTGCTTCAAATGACCTGAGGAACCCGTCAATGTTTAGAGTCGCTCGATCCATTCATCAACCTGACAACTCGGGATCCTAACAGGCACTACGAATGCCATGAGGGTGAAGAAGTGGAGTGGATTGTCGATGTAGATACGTATCCTTCGGCCGAACTAGAATGGTACGTCGAAAATGTTTAAATAACAATCGCATTATATCTCTAGAGTATTCTAGACTATTCTAGAGTACTCTACGGGCGTGAAAACAGGCATTTGCGTTACGTACATGGACATTTGAAGACACCACGCGTTTAAATGTCCAAATCCTCGATAGCAGTTTCTCACAGATAGACCGTGAATGTTCATATGTTCGTAATGGAAACGAGTACGCGAGATGAAAACTCTAAGAACTGCGCATTTCCCGTTCTATTTCCAATCGATGTGGAAGACGTTCACTTTGGACAAAGATTCGCAGCCCACCCGTGCATTCTCATTGTCCCGATGTCCAAATTTTCGTTTCGCAGGTTGCACGGCGACGAAGTCATAAGAAGTTTTCCGCCACCCGAGGAATCTAAATATTCGACGAACAATGCATGTTGCAATCCAACATTGAAAATCTACAGGTTGGATATAAGCGACGCGGGAACATATTCCATCCAGGCCAGCAATCAGTATAAAAGGGAAACGTTGAACTTTACGTTGGACGTAACAGGTACGCGCTGTATTCGTTGTTCCTAAACGAAATGTGACAAATATTAACCGCGGTTGCTCTGTTGATTCCACGATTGTCCGTCCTAATCGAAGATAAGTCTTTTAGTTGGGCCGAAAGTGTATATGAGCAAACCAGGCTCGTACTACTTTCGTAATCAGGTGCTAAAGACAGAATGCTACGTGGGAGCATTCCCTAAACCGAATATTACCTGGAGTTACCGCAAGTGTCCCAGTTATCCTTCTTGCGACGATGGCACCCTCGAGTACTTAACGGTACGCAATGTTTTTAACGCCAAACCTAGCTAGAACGAATCGTAAGAGGGTTGGCAGAAAAGAAATTTCGGTATTTCAATGTGAAATAAAACTCAACTTTGTCCATATACAAGAAATGAACTTTAATTAGTCAAATATTTTCCATTCTGTTCGATTGACCTTTTGCCATCTTTCTGGTAACTTCATGATTCCGCGCTCATAAAACTTCTTCTCCCTCATAAACCTTCGCGTTCAAATATACAGTAATATTAAAATGGTGTAAAGCGTATATGTATATTGGATTGGCAGGAAAGTAATTTCGATATTTCAATGTGAAATAAAACTCAACTTTTTTTATACAGAAAATGAACTTTAATCAGTCAAATATTTTCCATTCTGTTCGATGACCTTTTGCTATCTTTCTGGTGACTTCATGATTTGAGGCTATCGTTATTATTGAAATTTTTATCATTTATAAAGTTTTGTGAACTTCGAAATAAATGACAATCCGATGGTGCAAGATCGGAGCTATATGGAGGATGTGACATCACTTCCCAACCAAACTCCAATAATTCTGTACGTGTTGCTAATGATGTATGAGGCCTCGCATTGTCGCGGTGGAACACGATTTCTTTGCGATTTGCCAATTCTGGCCTTTTCACTTTGATTGTTTTCTCCAATTTCATAAGTTGCTGGCAGTAAACATCCGAGTTGATCGTTTGGTTGGTTGGAAGCAGCTCAAAATACACAACACCTTTCTAGTCCCACCAAATTGACAGCATAATCTTTTTTTGTTGTGATTCAGATTTCGATATGGTTTGTGTTGGTTCATCACGCTTGGACCATGACCTTTCTCGATTAATGTTATTGTAAACGATCCATTTCTCATCACCGGTGATAATTTGTTTCAAAAAAGGATCGATTGCAGTACGTTTAAAATGCGCATCGCAATTACCGATTCGTTGTGTTAAGTGAATTTCTTTCAATTCATGCGGAATCCAAACATCGAGGTTCTTAACAAGTCCAAGACATTTTATGTGATATTCAATTGTTGCGTGCGTTACATTTAACCTTTTTGCAATCTCTCGTACAGTTATACGACGATTCGATTCAATTATGGCTTTGATTTTGTCATCATCAACTTCAGAACGTCGACCAGAACTTTGGTCATCTTCAAGTGAGAAGTCTTCAGAACGAAATTTTTTGAACCAATTCTGACATGTGTGTTCTATTAAGTAATCGACGCCATGAACTTCACATATCTCTTTGTGAGCCTCGGCCACTTTCTTGCCTTTATGAAAATAAAGAAGTAAAATGTGCCGAAAATGTTCATTTTTGCACATTTTTGCACATGTTAAAATTGACAGGAAACTATCAGTTGTAAACAAAACTGCACGGAATTTGTTTCTATAGTAACCGAAACGTGTCAACTACCAAAGCTGAAGACAAAGAATTATAACTTTTAAAATTAATTATATACAATTATTATATATGAATATTATAAATATTATATATAATTAATTATATAAATATATATATATATATATATATATAATTATAATATATAATTATATATTATATAAATATATATTAATATAATATAATATAATATATATATTTATATTATATTATATTAATATATATTTATATAATATATAATTAAAGTTTTTTAAATTATAACAAAAGAATAACAATGCAAACATAAGGCTATCTATTCATGCAAACCGAAATTACTTTCTTGCCAACCCAATATTTAGACAGTACATCATTTTCATTATAACGTCTGCTTGAATGACGATATCGATTCAAACATTTTCCATGAACGTATATTCATAATTTTAACATGTTTCGAGCGAAAAATGTGGCATCGATCGTTCTCACCGGCTCGGTGGTTTAGCGTTGATTGAAGTCCGAAGTCGTTGCATTGACTGCGACCGATTAATTAAATCGAGAGATATTCGTACAGAACTACGAGGAAAAGGGAACCGTGACTCGACCGGTCTCTACGGTATGGATGGCCACTGAAATGTCTGGCGAGCTTACCTGCATGGCGTGCAACATTGTTGGCTGCGGAAATGCTACCGAAAACGTGTTTGTTTCCGGTAAGAACGGGACCAGTTCACACCCTTCACGATCAGCGAGCCAGAATGCTTTTGAATTATAACTAGACTGCGGATTTGATTCGACAATATTATAAAAGTATTAAGGGACAAAAAAAGTTTTTTGCTGAAATACTTAAGTTTACCATAATTTGTCTCGTTGAATGCTCATTACCTGTGCTGTACCAAAGTTCGCGTAATTCTTGGCTCGTGAACATTTCAAGGCTGTGATTATAGTGGATGCGTTTTCGTACGAACTAGCGTTCTGACGAATTCCATATACTACGTCACATGCATGATGCTTTCCGCGGTTAGACATTAGTTTTTCGCAGCATATTCGATATGGAGGATTTTTACATCGACGTCGACGAGTTTTACCGTTTAGAGAATCTGGTTTTAAAAATTTTATTTTTAAGTGATTTATTAAGTGATCAAATCAAGCAAGTGAATAAACTATTTCTATTGTGGTTATTATGTGGAGAACTTCACGCATTATTGGAAGAACTTAAGAAGGATTTTATTATTCCTTAATGGAATTAAAGATGGGATTTTAAGAGAATCGAATTTTCGGTTATGTGTTCCTTCGGAAGAAAGACTCGCGATCACATTAGGGTGAAAAATGTTTTCATTTTCATGATTTTCGATCAATATATTAATATATCATATATATCATATATATAATATATATATATATATATATATATGATATCATATATTAATATATCATATATATCATATATATAATATTATATATGATATCATATATTAATATATCATATATATCATATATATATATATTATACATATATATGATATCATATATCAATATATCAATATATCAATAATTATCAATAACTAACTTAATTGCTTTAAATATCTACATTATTGTAAATATAATTACTATTGGTGTCCATTTCTCGACCAATCTTCTCCAATTTTATTTCAGTTAAATATGGGTTAAGGTATTTCCACGATTACATTTATTTTTACGTACGCGTCGATGTGAGAGATCAAACTCGTTTGAAAGACAAATTCGTTCTGACGATGAAATTATATTACTACTACACTGCAGTTTACTTATGCATTAATATCTAGGCACATTTCACGAAACAGAAGCCGCCGATTGTTCATCACACGATGGTTCAAACGTTCTGATGAATTCGAGAGTCTCCTGGACTCAGGAAACGCAGTTAGCGTAACCACTCGCACATAAGAATTTATAGGATCGATTGTTCTGACGTCTGAATGCTATTTCGTACGAATACGTATCCGCTGTAACCGCAGCCTAATACACGTTTTCTTTAGATGCTACAACGTGCTTCAAAATATTTTAGGCGAACATGGGGAATTCGGTATCATTCTCACGAAGGAACCAGTGGCAGAGGGTGACGACTGGGAGCTGATCTGCGCTGTTTCGAATCAAAATTATTCGGACATCATCAATTGGAGTAGCGAAAGTGGTCCAATCGTACAATCTGGTCATTTGATTTCCAATATTTACGCTAAGAACGCGTTAGAAAATTTATTTTTCTACAATTAATTTCAAACACCAATAAAGTTCAATGAACGATCCGAGAATAATACGTTGAAACTTTTAGATAAAATCTCTATCGATCGAGGGAGGACTCAACATATGTACAGATCAATTTTGAAGATACACAACGTGAAAATCGAGGACTCGCAGGAATATATTTGTACAGGGAAGTCCACTGGCAATTTGACTCGGTCTACTGGATATCGTTTGGAAGTGAAGGGTAATTCGAAATGCTAATTCCTAAGGTGGTTGAATGTTGTATTGCTGGATAATATTATTCTTCTTTCAGCTGCACGAGCGCCTATAATTACAGATACCAATTTGAAGAAAGAGGAGATAATCATTGATCTTGGGAGCCAAGGTAGCAAGAGAGTGCTTTTTCACTGTTTTGCGGATGGTATGCCTATCCCAAGCATCAGTTGGTTTAAGGTAATCGATTAGAAGTCAATATTGTATTTCTTAATCACAGTAATATTTTACTGTTTATATCTTTTTTACTATTTTACCGTATTCGGATATTTATATCTTGGCACAAGTCATTGAAAATCGACATACTTTTCTCAGGATGGTGCACAGGTGGTAGTTAGTAATGAAAAGTACAAGTTATCCAATAACTCTCAGAAACTTGAACTAGAATATCCATTGGAAGTCGACGGCGGTGAGTACGTGTGCCGAGCAGAAAATCGAATTGGAAAAATAGAAGTTGCTCAACGAATAACGATAAAGGGTAATTTGTTAAATTGAGCAGTGCAGACGCACACAGGAGAGCGAAATTCCACTTTAACTTCTTTTTAATTAACAGGGTTCAGGATTGTAAGTAACAGACCTGTAGCTCTAATCATTTTGGTTGTCATGTTAGCAATTGTCGTTCTGATCCTGGTGATCTACTTTGCCCTCAAGGTTCGCCGTGATAGGGTAACTTCACTTTTGTAGTATTACGCGGCGCCATTTGATTCCACAACAATTACACCATTTTTTATGATGTTCCAGATAATGAGAAGGGAATTAATGGAGGCTGGTCTTATGCATTTTGAGAAAGGAGCTGTCGAGAGTTTGAATCCGGACTTGACTGTAGACGAACAGGCAGATCTCCTCCCTTATGACAACAAATGGGAATTTCCCAGGGAAAAATTGAAATTAGGTAAGCTTTGATTGAAAATCTTTTCTTGACATTTTTCTGGAAAATAGGTCCTTATATTGCTCTATGCTAAAATTTGTCTTCAAACCTATACTTTTTAAGGCAAATTTTAATTCGATCGATAAAATTGGTGTGTTAAATCTGCTCTACGTAAATATTATTTGAACATGTTCAAATTGTTCGAATGTTATACGAAAATATACCATTATATTCGGGAAAGTATACACAATTGTTATAAGTAAGAATTAACCATGTAATTTTTACAGTTCACTACCAAACAATTTGTATAGTTGAAAATTAGAACTTTTTTCCGTGATCAAGAAAATAGATTTCAGATTTGTGTTGGACGGTGTAGGTTTCGGTAATAATTTTCGGTAATAATGATGTAGTATCAATTTACAGGGAAACACTTGGGAAGCGGCGCGTTCGGCGTAGTCTTGAAAGCAGAAGGTTTGGGCATTTGCGAAGGCGAGGCAATTACTACTGTAGCTGTGAAAATGGTCCGCCGTGCTCCCAATCTCGTGTATATCTGTGCACTTGCTAGCGAACTCAAGATCATGGTACATCTTGGCAAACACCTGAACACTGTCAACCTTCTTGGTGCTTGCACAAGAAATATCTTGAAACGTACGTCTTCTAACCCTTTGTTAAGTTAGCACCAAAGGTTAATTTAACCGTATTTAAAGGCATCTATATTCATGTGAGGCTTGTAAATGACCATTTATGGACACATTTTTCTTATTCTTTATTTACTATCAGTATTTCATTTCTTCTTTACAAAGTTTGTGAATTGAAGCACTTTCTGAAGATGTAAATAACTTGCAAATTCAAAATTGCTTTTGTTCAAGTTTGTTCATTGGATTTTCTTTACAACAATCTAAATCATTTATGATATTGTTAGCTTGTAGGCTTATCGTTTAAGTAAATATCGTATTTAATTAAATGATTTCTGTTGATTATCCAGGTGAATTGTTAGTGATCGTAGAATTCTGCCGATTTGGAAATTTGCACGATTACTTATTGAGCCACAGAAGCGGCTTTATCAATCAAATCGATCCAGCAACTTGCAAATTAGACCTCAGCATCGGCCTTGATCTACTGAAGAGAACTAGCGGTGTTTGCACTACTAACAGGTTCGTTGCTACATTTTCGCCCTCATGTTTCTTGTTATCTGTTAACAACACTACGACGAGGAATCTATCTCGTATGGTCGCAAAAGGACATTGCACGTGTCCTATGCTTTCTCTATAGAACGAATTGTTGCACAATTTAACCTATCTTAAATTATGACTAGGTATTCGAGATCACATTACATGCAATTATGCATTATAATGCATCTAGTCTGCTTCCGATAATTAATACAATGAAACTATTGATGCATGTTGGAGTTTGCGGTGCTGACGCTTTTCTATTCTCATCTGTCTGCACGATAGGATTAAATCTGCGGAGTTATCATCTTCTGCCAATATCAACCGTAATTCGGAATCTAATTCGGTGCAGTGTCACGCTGCAGCTACCGATTTCCAGGACATCGGTATGTCGGCAGATGATCCCGTACAATATTGCGGTTCCACTGAACATAGTTGTCGGGGAGACTACGGGGACTCTAATTTAAAACCAATCTGCACGCAGGATCTTTTGTCCTGGGCGTTCCAAGTAGCCCGTGGAATGGAATATCTCAGCCAGAGAAGGGTGAGTTTCTGCAAGTTCTCGTCTCAAATATTTCTATCAGAACTGTATTATACAGAAAATTTCTATTTCAAAGCGAACTATATAATTAGATGAAAATGAAAATATCAATCATTTTTGGTAGTATTCACTTTGTTTTGTGCTTGACAATTCTATAATTTCTATACTTACTACGCATTAGCGTAATATCTGCAGTCTATTTATATAACAATTAAATAGTGAACTGTGATTTTTGCAATATTTCATTTGCATTGGAGATAAGTTACTGGACAAATGTCGGATCGCATATATACCATTTAAAAAAAATGAATGTACAGGTATTACACGGTGACCTGGCCGCTAGAAATATCCTGCTGGCCGATGACAATGTAGTGAAGATATGCGACTTCGGCCTGGCCAAGAGCATGTACAAAGAAGAAATTTACAAAAAGAGAAGCGACTGTCCATTACCCATTAAGTGGTTGGCCATCGAAACAATGAGGGATCGAATTTTCTCCACGCAATCGGACATTTGGTCGTTTGGCATAGTACTGTGGGAGTTCTTTACGCTGGCTATGACTCCGTATCCTGGAATAGAGACGGAGATAGTGTACCAGAAGCTGATCGAGGGTTACAGAATGGAGCAGCCTGAATATGCCATCCCCGAAGTGTAGGTTCACTCAAAATTTTTCATTTGGAAACGAATCGGGACAGTGCATTTTCAATTATATTCGATAACAAGTGAAAGAAAACAGATTAAAGATTCCTGACTTTCTAAGCATATATCAACGTATGCTCTCCAGCGTGTATCTGCTAAATTACGAGCTACATAGACATCGGACATAGACGTCCACATGCATAGACATCACCTTCCTTTGACGGAAACTGCAGCCTTGAGAGGCTGGCCTTGCGAACCCCTGGACCTGCCATAAATTATCTAAATGTGTAGCGACTTCGGCCTATCTGCCTTCGGTTAAAAACAATCTGTCGCTAACATCATGAGACCCGCAAGGCTTATGCTGAATGTAAATTTTCAAATATTCCGAACGGCACAGTTAACTGTATCAACGTCGACCGTACGTACAGTGTAACTTGCAATTGATAATTCATGCTTTGCAATTTATGATTTCCAGATATGAAATAATGTGTCAATGTTGGAATGCCGAGCCTTCTCTACGCCCGAGTTTCACGGAACTAGTCGATAGCGTAGGAAATTTGTTGGAGGACAATGTGAAAGCGGTAAGTTCCTTGTGCGATCTTTCCATCACTTTGTACAGATCATACATCTTCGTATCACATTATACAGAATTGTATACCGGAACATGTTCTCGCATAATTCATATGTTAATCGATAATTGGAGGCCATTGTTATGTGGAATAAATATCGTTGGTCATGACAATTTTCGAAGATATTTGCGTTTTATTCAAATTATCTCCGGGTGACTCAATTGAAAACGAAATTGGTAATTTCAGCACTACATCGAATTAAACGCCCCATACCTCGACATGAACAGGACTCTGCTGGATGGCGGAAAGAACGATTATCTGACGATGGTCTCTGCTCCGAATCACGCTGTGCTTTCTTCACCGACTCATGATTGCGCTGTGGAGACGTCGCCTATGCTGAACAAGGAGGAGGAAGATCGCTATGTGAAACCTATCAATGTCCACGAGCGGAGGGCAGAGTTAGCCAGAAACAGAAAAGCGATGAAGGATCACGTGGTGCATCCAGATCACGATTCCGGTGACGACAACCCTCCGGACAACTTTGAGCTGGTTGATTTGACATAAGAGAGTGACGTGTCCTGTGGAAGTCGGAGCTCGACTCGAATCCGATTGCCGAGATAGGTTTCGCTTCGACGATTAGTAAGCACTCGCGAGAATTACATGAGCATGCGTCAGCAAAGAAGTGGCACGAAGAAAGATTTGCCTGAAGGATACAACGATCTTAGTAACGTGATCGTAGATAATTGAGAAACAATTCGATCCGAGATTTCAAGTGCTTAGAAACTGCTGATTTCTGCTAGAAATCCAGTTGAAAGCGTCTTGCTTTGGCGACTCGTCAGAAAATCGCAGAGCTATGCCGGGAAATTCTGTCATATACACCATACTCCCCAGACCTAGCACCCTCCGATTATCACTTGTTTCTCTCTTTGCAAAACTTTTTACAGGAAAAACAATTCAAAACTGAAGCTGATATTAACCGAGCACTGGTTGAGTTCTTCGCCTCTAAAAATAAATCATTTTTTAAAAATGGCATTTACAAGTTGCCATCACGCTGGCAAGAAGTCATAAGTAACGATGGAAATTATATTGTACAATAAGTATTATTAAATGTATGAAAATTGTGTTATATTTCAATTGAAAAACGGACAGAACTTTCCGGTAGACCTAATACAAAGTACATGGTAGGTACTAAGTACGTGACCGTCGAATCGTGTCATGTGGCCTCCGAATTGTTTTCGAATCGTGGCAAGAAATTAAAGATAAAAAGGTTAAGTCATCGTTTTTATTCTAGCATTACTACGTATTCACATTAATGTACACCGACATGTTGGCCGCTGCCTTTTTTGCCGACTGTCCCGAGATTCTATAAAAACGAACCGCGCGACTCGAAGAATCGCGGCTCAGTACTCTCGGATCTGCCGGTTTCAGTTCCGACCTCCGAACATTTCTGGGAGAAATTACCGTATTCGGTCGAAACAGATTTGGCTGACTGAGTAATAATATATGAATACTTATATGTATCTTGTTTCTTTTTACTATAATTAGTTTGACATAATAGTATAATATAAGTAATATAATTAACTTAATAAAAAATACAAGTAGACGATAAGGCTTCCAAATGGTGGGGATTTATTGAACTCCAACGCGTGTATTGGATAATTGGAAACCATGTAGAATGAATATCTTTAGTTATGATAATGTCGAAAGATATTTGCGCTTAACTCTATGTTTAGGTGACTCAATTGAAAGCGAAATTGGTAATTTCAGCACTAGCGTTCTATCAAGTGTTTACGATTGTCGGAGCGAAGCCCATCTCGGCCGTCAGATTCGAGTTGACCTCCATCTTTTCAAAAGACCTTTCCAGTTTCAAGTTGGCCGGCGGGTTACAGTTACCGGAACATTAATCTGGATCCACCAAGTGATCCTTCACCATTCTTCTATTTCTGGTAAGTTCTGCCCTCTGCTCGCGGACATTGATAGGTTTCAGATAGGGATCTTCCTCCTCCTTGTTCAGCATAGGCGATGTCTCCACAGAATTCGCGCAATCATGAGTCGGTGAAGAAAGCACGGCGTGGTTCGGAGCAGAGACCATCGTCAGATAATCGTTCTTTCCGCCATCCAGCAGAGTCCTGTTCATGTCGAGGTATGGGGCGTTTAATTCGATGTAGTGCTGAAATTACCAATTTCGTTTTCAATTGAGTCACCCAGAGATAATTTGAATAAAACGCAAATATCCTCGAAAATTATCATGACCAACGATATTCATTCCACATAACCATGGCCACCAATTATCGATTAACATATGAATTATGCGAAAACATGTTCCGGTATACAATTCTGTATAATGTGATACGAAGATGTATGATCTGTACAAAGTGATGGAAAGATCGCACAAGGAACTTACCGCTTTCACATTGTCCTCCAACAAATTTCCTACGCTATCGACTAGTTCCGTGAAACTCGGGCGTAGAGAAGGCTCGGCATTCCAACATTGACACATTATTTCATATCTGGAAATCATAAATTGCAAAGCATGAGTTATCAATTACAAATTACACTGTACGTACGGTCGACGTTGATACAGTTAACCGCGCCGTTCGGAATATTTGAAAATTTACATTCAGCATAAGGCTTGCGGGTCTCATGATGTTAGCGACAGATTGTTTTTAACCGAAGGCAGATAGGCCGAAGTCGCTACACATTTAGATAATTTATGGCAGGTCCAGGGGTTCGCAAGGCCAGCCTCTCAAGGCTGCAGTTTCCGTCAAAGGAAGGTGATGTCTATGCATGTGGACGTCTATGTCCGATGTCTATGTAGCTCGTAATTTAGCAGGTACACGATGGAGAGCATACGTTGATATATGCTTAGAAAGTCAGGAATCTTTAATCTGTTTTCTTTCACTTGTTATCGAATATAATTGAAAATGCACTGTCCCGATTCGTTTCCAAATGAAAAATTTTGAGTGAACCTACACTTCGGGGATGGCATATTCAGGCTGCTCCATTCTGTAACCCTCGATCAGCTTCTGGTACACTATCTCCGCCTCTATTCCAGGATACGGAGTCATAGCCAGCGTAAAGAACTCCCACAGTACTATGCCAAACGACCAAATGTCCGATTGCGTGGAGAAAATTCGATCCCTCATTGTTTCGATGGCCAACCACTTAATGGGTAATGGACAGTCGCTTCTCTTTTTGTAAATTTCTTCTTTGTACATGCTCTTGGCCAGACCGAAGTCACATATCTTCACTACATTTTCATCGGCCAGCAGGATATTTCTAGCGGCCAAGTCACCGTGTAATATCTGTACATTCATTTTTAAAAAATGGTATATATGCGATCCAAAATTTGTCTAGAAACTTATCTCCAATTCAATCGTTACATAAATAGACTGTGGATTTTACGCTAATTCGTAATAAGTAAAATATATAGAATTATCAATCACAAGAAAACGTGAATACTACCAAAAATGAATGATATTTTCATTTTCATTTAACTATATAGTTCGCTTTGAAATAGAAATTTTCTGTATAGTACAGTTCTGATAGAATTATTTGAGACAAGAACTCGCAGAAACTCACCCTTCTCTGGCTGAGATATTCCATTCCACGGGCTACTTGGAACGCCCAGGACAAAAGATCCTGCGTGCAGATTGGTTTTAAATTAGAGTCCCCGTAGTCTCCCCGACAACTATGTTCAGTGGAACCGCAATATTGTACGGGATCATCTGCCGACATACCGATGTCCTGGAAATCGGTAGCTGCAGCGTGACACTGCACCGAATTAGATTCCGAATTACGGTTGATATTGGCAGAAGATGATAACTCCGCAGATTTAATCCTATCGTGCAGACAGATGAGAATAGAAAAGCGTCAGCACCGCAAACTCCAACATGCATCAATAGTTTCATTGTGTTAATTATCGGAAGCAAACTAGATGCACTATAATGCATAATTGCATTTAATGTGATCTCAAAGTCATAATTTAAAATAGATTAAATTGTGCAACAATTCGTTCTATAGAGAAAGCATAGGACACGTGCAATGTCCTTTTGCGACCATACGAGATAGATTCCTCGTCGTAGTGTTGTTAACAGATAACAAGAAACATGAGGGCGAAAATGTAGCAACGAACCTGTTAGTAGTGCAAACACCGCTAGTTCTCTTCAGTAGATCAAGGCCGATGCTGAGGTCTAATTTGCAAGTTGCTGGATCGATTTGATTGATAAAGCCGCTTCTGTGGCTCAATAAGTAATCGTGCAAATTTCCAAATTGGCAGAATTCTACGATCACTAACAATTCACCTGGAAAACCAACAGAAATCATTTAATTAAATACGATATTTACTTAGACGATAAGCCTACAAGCTAACAATATCATAAATGATTTAGATTGTTGTAAAGAAAATCCAATGAACAAACTTGAACAAAAGCAATTTTGAATTTGCAAGTTATTTACATCTTCAGAAAGTGCTTCAATTCACAAACTTTGTGAAGAAGAAATGAAATACTGATAGTAAATAAAGAATAAGAAAAGTGTGTCCATAAATGGTCATTTACAAGTCTCACATGAATATAGATGCCTTAAAAAACGGTTAAATTAACCATTGGTCCTAAATTAACAAATAGTTAGAAGACGTACGTTTCAAGATATTTCTTGTGCAAGCACCAAGAAGGTTGACAGTGTTCAGGTGTTTGCCAAGATGTACCATGATCTTGAGTTCGCTAGCAAGTGCACAGATATACACGAGATTGGGAGCACGGCGGACCATTTTCACAGCTACAGTAGTAATTGCCTCGCCTTCGCAAATGCCCAAACCTTCTGCTTTCAAGACTACGCCGAACGCGCCGCTTCCCAAGTGTTTCCCTGTAAGTTGATACAACAATTTTATTACCGAAAATTATTACCGAAACCTACTTCGTCCAACGCAAATCTGAAATCTATTTTCTTGATTACGGAAAAAAAGGTTCTAATTTTCAACTATACAAATTGTTTGGTAGTGAACTGTAAAAATTACATGGTTAATTCTTACTTACGACAATTGTGTATACTTTCCCGAATATAATGGTATATTGTCGTATAACATTCGAACAATTTGAACACGTTCAAATAATATTTAAATAGAGTAGATTTAACACACCAATTTCATCGATCGAATTCAAATTTGCTTTAAAAATTATAGGTCTGAAAACGAATCTTAGCATACTGAGCAATATAAGGACCTATTTTCCAACAGAAAATGTCAAGAAAAGATTTTCAATCAAAGCTTACCTAATTTCAATCTTTCCCTGGGAAATTCCCATTTGTTGTCATAAGGGAGGAGATCTGCCTGTTCGTCTACAGTCAAGTCCGGATTCAAACTCTCGACAGCTCCTTTCTCAAAATGCATAAGACCAGCCTCCATTAATTCCCTTCTCATTATCTGGAACATCATAAAAAATGGTGTAATTGTTGTGGAATCAAATGGCGCCGCGTAATACTACAAAAGTGAAGTTACCCTATCACGGCGAACCTTGAGGGCAAAGTAGATCACCAGGATCAGAACGACAATTGCTAACATGACAACCAAAATGATTAGAGCTACAGGTCTGTTACTTACAATCCTGAACCCTGTTAATTAAAAAGAAGTTAAAGTGGAATTTCGCTCTCCTGTGTGCGTCTGCACTGCTCAATTTAACAAATTACCCTTTATCGTTATTCGTTGAGAAACTTCTATTTTTCCAATTCGATTTTCTGCTCGGCACACGTACTCGCCGCCGTCGACTTCCAATGGATATTCCAGTTCAAGTTTTTGAGAGTTATTGGATAACTTGTGCTTTTCATTACTAACTACCACCTGTGCACCATCCTGAGAAAAGTATGTCGATTTTCAATGACTTGTGCCAAGATATAAAGATCCGAATACGGTAAAATAGTAAAAAAGATATAAACAGTAAAATATTGCTTTGATTAAGGAATACAATATCGACTTCTAATCGATTACCTTAAACCAACTGATGTTTGGGTTAGGTATACCATCCGCAAAACAGTGAAAAAGTACTTTCTTGCTACCTCGGCTCCCAAGATCAATGATTATCTCCTCTTTCTTCAAATTGGTATCTGTAATTATAGGCGCTCGTGCAGCTGAAAGAAGAATAATATTATCCAGCAATACAACATTCAACCACCTTAGGAATTAGCATTTCGAATTACCCTTCACTTCCAAACGATATCCAGTAGACCGAGTCAAATTGCCAGTGGACTTCCCTGTACAAATATATTCCTGTGAGTCCTCGATTTTCACGTTGTGTATCTTCAAAATGGATCTATACGTCAATTTAGTCCTCCCTCGACCGATAGAGATTCTATCTAANCTTTTCATTACTAACTACCACCTGTGCACCATCCTGAGAAAAGTATGTCGATTTTCAATGACTTGTGCCAAGATATAAAGATCCGAATACGGTAAAATAGTAAAAAAGATATAAACAGTAAAATATTGCTTTGATTAAGGAATACAATATCGACTTCTAATCGATTACCTTAAACCAACTGATGTTTGGGTTAGGTATACCATCCGCAAAACAGTGAAAAAGTACTTTCTTGCTACCTCGGCTCCCAAGATCAATGATTATCTCCTCTTTCTTCAAATTGGTATCTGTAATTATAGGCGCTCGTGCAGCTGAAAGAAGAAGAATATTATTCAACAATACAACATTCAACCATCTTAGGAATTTGCATTTCGAATTACCCTTCACTTCCAAACGATATCCAGTAGACCGAGTCAAATTGCCAGTGGACTTCCCTGTACAAATATATTCCTGTGAGTCCTCGATTTTCACGTTGTGTATCTTCAAAATGGATCTATACGTCAATTTAGTCCTCCCTCGACCGATAGAGATTCTATCTAAATGTTTAAACAAATTATATTCGATTCCTTTAATTTCTCATTGAACTTCATTGATTTTTAAAATTAATTGTAGACAAGTAAATTATTTAACGCGAACTTAGCGTGAATATTGAAACTACCAGATTGTACAATTGGACCACTTTCGCTGCTCCAATCAAAGTTGTCCGAATAAGTGCGAACCGAAGCAGCGCAGATCAGCTCCCAGTCGTCGCCTTCTATCACGAGGTGTTTCACGAGTATGACACCGAACTCGCCGACTTCGTCTAAAACATTTTGGAACACATTGTACTCTCTATCAAACACGTGGTTGTAGAAACATGTTCACCAGGTAAGAATTATGTGAACTTTCCGATAGCATAGTTAATGAGCATTCAACGAGACATACTATAACGAACTCAAGTATTTGAGCGAAAACCAATTTCGTCCCTTAATACTTTTATGACACTGTTGACTCAAATTCGCAGTCTATTTATATGGTACAAAACTACTCTGGTTCGTTTATCGTGGAGAGTGATGCGGGTCCTGTTCTTACCGGAAACGTACACGTTTTCGGTGACATTTCCGCAGCCAACAATGTTGCACGCCCTGCAGATAACTTCGCCGTACATATCAAGGGTCGCCGATAGCGTAGAGAGCAGATGAGTCACGTTTCCGTTTTCCCTGGAGTTCTGTATGAATATCTCTTGATTTAATAAATCAACACTAAACCACCGAGCCGGTGAGAATGATCGATGTCACATGTTCCACTTAAAAGTTGTTGAAATTATGAATACACGTTCATGGAGAATGTTAGAGTCAATATTTTCATCGAAGCAGATGCTGTAAAGTCTAAATAAAATTTTGATGTTAAAACATTGCATACCGTTACATGCTCGAGAGTACCATCGTCGCAAGAAGGGTAATTAGGGCACTTGCGGTAACTCCAGGTAATATTCGGCTTCGGAAACGCTTCCACGTAGCATTCTGCCTTTGCCACCTGATTTTTGAAGTAGTTCGAGCTCGATATGTTCATGTACACTTTCGGTTCAGCTAAAAAACTCATCGTCGATTAGACCGAACAGCCATTACATCGATACAGTCACTCCGATCAATATTTTTATATTTCGTTTATGAACAATGAAAATAGCGTACCTACTATTTCCAACGTAAAGTTCAAAGCTTCCTTTTTATACCGATTGCTAGCCTGGATAGAATATATTCCCATGTCGTTTAAATCCAAACTGTTGATTTTCAATGTTGGCTTACAACATGCATTGTTAGCTGATAACTTGAGTCTTCCATGCAGCCACAAAATCGTTGGAATTTCGTTGCCACGTGCATCGACCCTACGAAATGAAACTTTGGAAATCGTGACATAGAGAAATCAGAAGTGGACTACAAATCTTTGTGCAAAGTGATCATCTTCACCTTCCATTTGGAAAAAAAGAACAGGGACTGTTGAGAAACAATGTAATCGGATTCTTAACTTTGTCAGTTTCGTCTATTCATTTTTATTACAAACGCATCAAATTCGCAGCTTGTATATACGAAAGAACTATCGAGAGTTGAACATTTAAATGTGCAGTGTCATTAAATTTCCATATATTATTCGGTTGGCAACTAAGTAATTGCAGATTTCAGTTATAGATGTCTCTCACTCCCATTTCTATGATATCCGTGAATGTTATATTATAAAATTATTATTATTATTATTATGTTATTTTTTATTATCCGTGAATGTTGGCAACTGGACAAATTGAATGCAGCGGTCAAGGAAAAGCGACCAGAATTGGTCGATCGTAAAGGTGTCATTTTCCAGCAGGACAATGCTAGGCCGCACACGTCTTTGTCCACTCGGCAAAAATTGATGGATATCGGTTGGGAATTGATGTTACACCCACCATATAGCTCTGATCTCGCGCCATCGGATTACCACTTATTTCGATCCCAGGACAACTCCCTTCGTGGTAAAACTTTTAACGATGATGACGCTGTAAAATCTCACTTAACTCAGTTTTTGGCCGAAAAGGATCAGACTTTCTACGAGCGTGGAATTTTCAAGTTGTCGGAAAGATGGCGAAAGGTCATCGAACAAAATGGAAAGTACATTACAGATTAAACTTCGTTCCAAGTAAAAACAAATTTTTTATTTCATTGAACAAATCGGCAATTACTTAGTTGCCAACCCAATATATAATCTAATTAGTTACTGCCGGTACTACAGAGTACTCTACAAATATAATAAGATGTTATTTAAATGGCTTTGACATACCATTTTAGTTCAGTCGAAGGATACGCGTCTACGTTAACAACCAACTCCACCGCATCGCCCATACGACGTTGATAGTGTCTGTTCGAATTCGGAGTTGTTAACTTGATGAATGGATCGATCGACTCTAAACATTCGATAAGCAGAAATTGTGGAGACTGATGCTTGCTTTATGCACAAGACATACAATTGAATTTCATAAAATGAAAACGCGGTATTCTGAAATATTTAGACATATACTGGTTGAAACACCCGATACTGCTATTATGATTTACGTTATTATTAGTGTGCCAAGAGAAATAAGTTTCAAGCAATCCGAAAGTGGCGGTTTCCTGAGGCCATTGGAAGCAACTTTTTCCTTTACAAAAGTTTTCTCCGAGGCACCGTTAACGAGTTATTAACGAAAAACAGTGACCAATAAGAATCGAGTACGGCTGACGCGAGGCGGCCCAGCCAACCAGCGCGCGAAACCCAGTTCCGCTCATTGGCTCGATCGCCTCGCGCCAGCCGAGCTCGCCTCTCATTGGTCACTGTTTTTCGTTAATAACTCGTTAACGGCGCCTCGGAGAACATTTTTGTAAAGGAAGAAGTTGCTTCAAATGATCCGAGGAATCCGCCATTGCCGGATTGCGAGACATTTTTGGGACATCCTGTAGACTGTTGTAAATCGATGCGAAGACAAAAGAAGTGTGAAACAATGCATATGAAGACGATTATTTGATTCAAACGATGAGCGAGTGAGCTACTAGAGCAAGCCAACTATAATGGCGCGTCGTCCAGAGAGATGACATCCGCGAAAGCCACTATAGTGGCGTGTCGTTCTAAAAGATGATATCCACGGAAGCCACTATAGTGGCGCGTCGTGCCTAAAAGGTTAATTTGCCCGGTTTGCGGTCCCATGACGAGTTCGTAGTTCAGAATTATAATGTACACTCGTTATGTTCTCCAGTCCAGATCCCTGCCTGCCATGTAACCTATCCCCACCCCACGAATTTGAAATCTGGTCGAATCTTCTGGATACAATGGTCACGTCTCAACTCGGAACGTTATCATCGTACTCACCATGCACCTGGAGATACATATGCGATTTGTCTTCAATATTGTTATTTGTCACTCTGCATTCGTAGATACCTTCGTCCTCGTAGAGAACGTTTTTGATTTCCAGTAAAGCCGCTCTCTCATAGAAGAAAGTTGCATTAATCGTTTCATCGGTCCAAACAATGAATCTGTCAGCCTGAAATATCCATATTATTGTGTCGAATTCAACTCGCGCGGGTATAGATAAACACGAATGTAATTTATATGTGACAGACAGATACTTCTCGCGCTACAATCCAAAATATGTCATAGTCCTCAATGTCCCCCATACTATTTATGGTGCACTTCACGTATAAAGATTCTCCCTTTATTACATGCGCCAATGTGTTATTGATAATTGGTTTGGGCAGTGTAACCCACGCTACATGAAAAAAGATCGTAGGTTGTTAAAAGTCTATGGATCTTCGTGAGAAAAAGAACGTTTACTATTAAGTCTATTGTAAGAAAAATGTATTCATTTATTTAGCGACTTTCGCTAATAATCCGATTTCTTTCTTTATTTAGATTAACCCGAGAAAGATAACCTACGTCGCAGAGGCGCCTGCGAAGACTGTTGATTTTTGTTAATTTTTCATAGAGGTCTAGTGATTTAAGTTTAAAATTACTTAAAATATAAAAAAATATAATATAAATGCATTTTATTTTTACAATAATGCCAAACCTTTAAAATGACTAGATTAACTTAAATAAATATCCATTGTTAGTATAAAATTGACGTCTTAGAAAAGCATGCGCCTCTGAAGCGTATGGTTATCTTTTACGTACGTTGTCATATGGTTATCTTTCTAGGGTTAACGAAGTAGCATTCTTTCGCTCGTAATCTTATTAAGATCAAAATATCGAAACGATTGTAAAATAGGAGAAGGATGTCTTCCACATGGAAATGATAAACTGTGAGATAAATGTTGTGCAACAAGTATACTCACAGCGCATATGTACGATATAAGAGACCGCTTGATCAGGGGCGATGATACATTTGTATGTCGCCGGTGTTGGAAGGTCGACGTATACGAGCACTGTAAATCCATATTTTGGATCGAAAGTGGAAGTAAAAAAATCGTTCCGATTCTGCGCAATGTATTTTATTAATTATTCACGAAATATAACCTTATGCCACATTAACTGTACGTATCATCAATCGTGAAGCCTACGCAATTATAAGAGAACCATTTGTCTTCGCAGATGATTCGAACGAATCGATGCCAATATTATTCTTGACGCACACCAAATATCGTTCTTGCAAAGTTTTCCGAATATTCCACGTAGTATAGTGAAGCCAGCATACTAGGGAGTGACGAATTGTTGTGCCATTGATTTGTTTTCTGGCATAATTAATTTTATACGAAAAATGTCCCAAAAATGTTTCACAATCCGGAAACGAGGGGTTTACGGGATCATTCGAAGCAACTATTTCCTTGACGATAATGGGATGCGCGGCTTTGTTTACCAATTATCAACGAAAAACTGTGACCAATGAGAGATGAGAACTGCTGGCGCGAGACGGCTGAGCCAATCAGCGTAACTGGGCTCCGTGCGCTCGTTGACTGGACCGCCTCGTCTCAGTCGAGCTCGCCTCTTATTGGTCACTATTTTTCGTTAATGTCTCGTAAACAATGCCGAGGATTGCATTTTCGCTAAGGAAAACGTTACTTCAAATGACCTACGCATTGCGAGACATTTTTGGGACACCATGTAAATTATCAAATGAGTCGTATTACATTTTTTTGATTCATGGGTACACAAAATAAAGGAGCAGAAATATTTAATATGTTTTATTCGATGAATATAGTGTTAATTGCGCCGGGAAACGAACCAAAGTCACAGCAATTGTTTAATTGACGATATACCGGCTCCACTGCCCTATTAAAGGTTTCAAGAAATCTTACACAATTTCGTAATTTCTGTCAATTATATACGATCTTTCTAGTTAATTTAGTAGAAACGTTTTGTGGCTCCAACGTTACGTTGCTTCACGAAGTTTATATTAGAAAATTTGTTAAGCAATCAAATACCTTTCCGTTAACAATCTGTGTAATCCGGACTTCTGCTTCCGGCGACGTTGGTCTACACGGTATGACAATGGTTTCACCATAAGTTCTTATTAACTTATATAAACTTGCTTGTTCCACAAACCGAGCTGTTTTAGCTGAAACACAATTGTTGAACGCCTAAATTGCCACATACCGATGTTACAAAAATAACTGCGGGATTGATTCGCCGAATTGCAATTATTAGGTCTACCGGAAAGTTCTGTCCGTTTTTGAATTGAAATATAACATAATTTTCATACATTTAATAATATTTATTGTAGAATATACTTTCCATCGTTACTTATGACTTCTTGCCAGCGTGTTAAACGCACGCACAAAGCAAACATTCTGTGTCATAATTTTCTTCGTAATCACTTTTCCATCATTTAGAATAATTCCTTCTTCGTCATCTGTCGAACTATCACTTCTGCGCGTTCTCTTTTAGTGCTCCTTTTGGAATTGTCTTTCTTAGTTTCGCATTACATTATAATAAGAACTTTCAACGATCCCATATTTGTAAACAATAACATGTTACATATTATAAGGAATCTTCGGGTTAATCTTCAATCTTTAACGATATATTAGGTCTACCGGAAAGTTCTGTACCGTTTTTGAATTGAAATATAACACAATTTTCATACATTTAATAATATTTATTGTAGAATATACTTTCCATCGTTACTTATGACTTCTTGCCAGCGTGTTAAACGCACGCACAAAGCAAACATTCTGTGTCATAATTTTCTTCGTAATCACTTTTCCATCATTTAGAATAATTCCTTCTTC